TTTATAATATGACTGATTTTTTTTTTTGCTCCAGCTTACTTAATCTTTACTAAAAGGCCAGTCCCGCCTGTACACAACATTTCCTTCCCTCCAGTGTAGGAACTCATGTAATCTCTCATTATTCTAGTTTTTAACAAGGCATAGTGATTTACATCTGGCCTGTAGATATCCAACACAGATTTCTGTGAGCAGCAGCTGAGTTCCTGGAAAGTTCTTTGTAGTTAAAACTGCAGCAGTTTCCTCTATAGCAGCCATCACTGGCTTGTGTGTGTTGATAGTATTGCACATGACCTTAGTGAAGAAGTCTATGATTTCCTGTCAAAGCCAGACTTTTCTTGTAAAGGAAGAATACTATATCAACAAGACAACTAGGCAAAAGAGAAAACAAGACTGAAAAATAAGGAGAATACACTTGATATTCTGTCATTTTCCTTTTTTTTTTGTACAATCAATCCTTCTTATAAAAATCTCCCTCCAACACACACACACAACAAAAATACATCCTGAATCTGATAAAAGAGAAGAACCAGAGTTAAAGCATCATAACCATGTTTCAGTGGAAATTTCATATCTCCGAGAAAAAATTATTATAACAGTACATTGACAGTTCCATATGATGTACAGTTCTATAAATAATGCCATATACTTCAAAATACTTCCATGTATAAAGGTGTTAAACAGGGTGGATAGAGTAGGTTCCTTTCTTGAACCTAGACACCTCATGCGTAGAGCTTCCTGACCTATCAGCAATTGTATTTATCAAGATTCAGCCACTGGCAAACCGCTCAGTCTGGACCTGGTGTTGCAATGTCTATTTTAACATTTACATTCTGTGGAAGAACATAACATAAGAACATAAAAACATAAGAGATGCCAATGTTGGATCAGGCCAAAGGCCCATCCAGTCCAACACTCTGTATCCCACAGTGGCCAGAAATACCAGTGCCATCAGGAGGTCCACCAGTGGGGCCAGGACATTAGAAGCCCTCCCACTGTTGACCCCCCCAAGCACCAAGATGACAGAGCATCACTTGCCCCAGAGTCCCTATCTATACCTTGTGGCTAATAGCCACTGATGGACCTCTGCTCCATATGCTTATCTAATTCCCTTTTGAAGCCGTCCATGCTTGTAGCCACCACCACTTCCTGTGGCAGTGAATTCCAAGTGTTAATCACTCTTTGGGTGAAGAAGTACTTCCTCTTATCCGTTCTAACCCGACCGCTCAGCAATTTCATGGAGTGCCCACGGGTTCTTGTATTGTGAGAAAGGGAGAAAAGTACCTCTTTCTCTACCTGCTCTTTCCCATGCATAATCTTATAAACCTCAATCATGTCACCCCTCAGTCGTCGTTTCTCCAAGCTAAAGAGCCCTAAGCGCCTTAACCGTTCCTCATAGGGAAAGTGTTCCAACCCTTTTATCATTCGAGTTGCCCTTTTCTGCACTTTTTCCAAAGCTATAATATCCTTTTTAAGGTGTGGTGACCAGAACTGCACACAGTATTCCAAATGAGGTCGCACCATTGATTTATATAGGGGCATTATGATATTGGCTGATCTGTTTTCAATACCCTTCCTAATAATCCCCAGCATAGCATTGGCCTTCTTTATTGCAGTCACACACTGTCTCGACATTTTCAGTGAGTTATCTACTACAACTCCAAGATCTCTCTCTTGATCAGTCTCTGCCAGTTCAGACCCCATCAACGTGTATTTATATTTAGGATTTTTGGCTCCAATGTGCATCACCTTGGGGGGGGGAAACGTTCTTAGTTCATTTTCTCTGTATTTTGACAACTCACAGTTACGCCAGTCTTTTCTTTTCCATTTTTTTCGGATATTCGCTTCATCACTCGGTGACGCCCGGTGGTTCCGCTAAACCCCGTAGAACGGGGTCGCTCACGCAGCAAGGTCCAAAGGGGCAGGGCATGGCGAGAGTCTCAATCTCCGATCTCTCGACCGAAAGAGAGACTCCCCCCTGGAACGCCCTAAAGCGCCCCGGATCCGAGCTCCTCTCATCTGAGGGGCTCGTTCGGGTCTCCGCTTGCGCGGATTCCCTCCTCCACCGCGGGCGGGCAAGGCGCCCTCGGGAGCGACCCGAGGATGCGTCTGCCTTTCGCGGGAGCCAGACCGGAAGCCAATCTAATTCCCTTTTGAAGCCGTCCATGCTTGTAGCCGCCACCACTTCCTGTGGCAGTGAATTCCAAGTGTTAATCACTCTTTGGGTGAAGAAGTAAGCCTACTTCACAAGCTTCAGTGAAATGGGTCTCTTATTCAAAGATGAACAGGCTTAAAATATTCTCCAGACACTTCATCCAAGACCTTTGGCTAAGTAGCTCAAAATCATACTTCTCTTAATAAGAAACTGGAGGAGTTAGTAGGGACAGCACCACATTTCAGATTAAGACAGGGTTCAAAAAATAAGCTTTCCCAGTTCCGATACAGAGTATTGTACCACACCAGCCAATTGTGGAACAATTGCCATTAATTATACACACAGTTATAATGGTGGTTCCAGATGGTGTCAGCAGCAATCCACAGCTATCCCACTCTTAATTTTTCCAAGAACGAATATGTTCCTTTCCCCCCCTATTGCTGAGGTACAGAAATGCAATCTCTGGGGTGTGGACAATCTTTGCATCACTGCTCTAGCTGATTCTTCCTGCTCAATGCAACCTCTCATACTGTAAATAAATAAATCATTGTTATTATAATGCATATCTCAGTATATAGTTTCTGAGGGAAAAATAAGAATTTGTGACAGAATGCTTGGAGTTCCTGGCCAGAGTTAACTGAAAGCTGGGTGCAGCCTTTGGGAGCAGGTTCCTTTGATTCCTAGCAGTTGGGTGCAAGGTTAGTGGATGTGCTGCTTAATAGCAGAATGAAGGGAAGGAAAAGTAGTGATACAATATTGTGAAATAATATTGCTAATCATCTCACATTTTAAAAAACCAGGTTACAGAGACATACTTCTGTGACTGCCAGTGAACACTAGGAAGGGGCAGAGTAATCCTAGGGAAACTACCACTCCTTGTATGAATGGGAAAATCCAGTACGGCCCCGGTCACACGAGAGGTTTTGGGCCGGGAGAGGGACGGATCGGGGGCGCAGCAAACGGGCGCGATCCCACAGCAACATCTGGGAAGCGTGGTGCGCCCGTTCCTGATCCAGTCCTTCCACCTAAAACCCCGCATCAAAAATAAACCACCTACCTAGGTGGTTCTTCAGGAAAGGGAGCATCAAGGTCGGCCGTGGGATTGCCGGCGCGTCCTTCCGCCGGCGCATCCCTGGCTCCTGGCCGAACTGCGCATGCTCAGACATGCGCAGTTCGGCAGCCTCCCCCTCCCGACTGTCGCTTCCTCCCCGGCATCTGATCGTGCCGGGGAGCAACGACGACGCGGCTCAGGGGATCCGTGGGATCCCGCCGCAGCGTTTCTATTTTGGTGCGGCTTTCAAAAGCCGCACTTTGCCCGGTTTTTTTCCTGCAGGGACCTACATGAATTATTTCAGTGGTGCACTATCCACCAATGTGTGGATTCTCCATCATAATTCCACATGCAGTTTATGCTGCAAGAGTACTGACTTGGTTTGCAGAAAATGGTGTCAGGGTAGAGTTGACCTAAGTCCCCTCTTAAATTCATGTCAATGCTAGCTAGACTGGTTAAACACACTGAGCCAGAAGAACACACAAAAAAATTACAGGTAACAGCATTCTTAACATTAATTAAAGCTTCTGAACATGCTCCAAAAAGTCCAATTTGTCCCTTGGAACATGGAAAAATTAAATATTGGCACCATTTAAACACAGCAATTTGTCCATTTCTCAAATTTATGACTATTATTAGGGGAAGGGCAGTGGCTCAATGGACGCACATCTGCTTGGCACACAGAAGGTCTCAGGCTCAATCCCTAGCATCTCCAGCTAAAAGGATCAGGTAGTAGGTGACGTGAAAGAACTTTGCATGAGATCCTGGGGACTGACCTTGATGGGCCAATGGTCTCTTTTAGTAGAAGGCAGCTTCATGTATTCTGCCTATCAGTTAAGTATCATAAATATTTGCATCGTATACAAAAATTCAGAGTTGATTCTGGGAAGTTCTGGGCACACAGAAGGATTCCAATAGCAACCCAAGACAAGTCCTAAAGCATGTGTGTGCCCAGTGAGATCTGTAATGTTTTTCTTTGAACAGCCTCTATGCCATATGAAAATTTTATTCCCCCCACTGAATTTCTAAGTTTCAAAAGTGAGTTGCCATGCAACATGAGGGCTTGCTGGCTGAAAGCTTTATGACAGCAGTTTAGTCATGCAGCTAGAGTTCTGGCACATGTAATAGGGGCAGGAATATTTTAAAATGTAACAAGAATTTATAGCAGTAATAAATGATTTATCCAAATTCTTTGTGACATACTGTAGAACTTATCTTTTTAACTCCATACAAACATGACATCAACTTATTTGATTAACCAAACATTTCATGCTCTTATCATCGCTTATACATGGCAAGGAGGTTGCGCTGAATATAAAATAAGTTTCATTACTCACTTTAACAAAGGAAATATTTTTAAATTGTGGTTTTAGTTTGATCTGAGCAATGAGAAAGTATAGAATCATTTCATAAAGCTGAACAATCCCCTCCTCCATATTTCAGGAAATCATTTGCATTTATTCTGTTTAGAGAAATTCATGTAAATTGTTAACATGTTACGTATTATATATGTGATAGAAATTCCCCGCACATTTCCATCATTGACGAAAGTTCTAGTTTTCTAATTTCCGAAAGCGTATGACAAAGAATAGTAGTAGCTAGCCCAGGGTCAGTTAAATGTATTCCCCATATCATCAAAATTGAAAAAGTCAAAATCTGAGCACATTTTTAAACTCATTTCAAGAAGGTGCAGAAATCTCCCTCACATGCAACAGCAGATTTTCTCACTTGTACTTTACTCTTGATTTGAAGCAAAAGAGTTCAGTTGATTCATGAATCCCAGTTTGAAAGGGCCAGTGCAAACCAGAGCTGGTTATTTAGTTGTTTGAGCTGGTGTCTGGAAGTTGAAGTACAGGAGCTAAAGTGGGACACTGGGAGAAGGAAAAAAAGGTGGAGGTGAAGAGATGAAGTATTTTATAATTCACAACTAGGGCTTGATTACAATGTTAATTTCTTCTGATGGGAAGGACTTCCATCTATGGAGGAGAACTTCCCTTCCTACCATCTCCCAATGTGGCCCCAAATGCCAAAATGGGAGCTGAAGGACTGCAATGGAAAGAGGAGATTAGTGAAAAGAAGGTCCCGTTTCCATTCATGAAAATTCTCCACTAGATCTAAACCTTTACCTAGAAGAGAACTGCTTTCAAATAAATATATTTAGGATTAGAGTTCAGGTCCCACTGACATAAAACATTTTTTCCAAGTATGTGTGTTTGATTAGGAACTTTAAGCTCAGCAGTACATGCAAATGTTAGTTCAAAATCTCAAACCTTACTAGTCAATTCACATCCCCACTAATTATAAATGTTTTTCAAACCAAGCATTCAACTTTGTCAACCTAGATCAAAGATGACTGTGGATAGTTGATTGTGTTAACTGACTGCTTTGAGCACACCTCTTCCACCATGCCTATAATTTGTGACATTATGGGCTCATTAACTATGTTTTCTCATCCAACCTTACTCCAGAGGTTACACCTGTGGGAATTGTACAGTATAAGCCCTGCCAGTCTCTACTTTCCCTAAATGCATCATGGCCTCTATTTCTACCAATCATAATAAATAGCAATGTAAGTGTTAACCAAACGTTGCTAGACAACCAGGGATACTTGTCAACTGCTCCCATTGTTAGCCTCACCCTCACTATCCTGTTGCCTGTTTAGAGTGAAAGTTCATGCCCAAGTTACTGAAAATTCCATGTACCTCTGTTGGAGAAGGAAATACCAGGGTGGTGGCCAGGATTTCCAGTTAGCCATTAGCTTATACAGGCAACTGAGAGAATGATGAAGGACTATGAGGCTACTACACCCTTTCTTCATCTATCCACACAGCTCATAGTTCTCTTTACATTGTTACAACCCGCCTTTCTGTGAAAAGAGCCAATCCTATTTTGCTTGAAAATCAAAGACTTTTAGCACTAGAAGGACATGATTTAAAGACAGGATGGCATGCTTTTATTTGGTATGGGAAAGCAGCTGGGCATAAATACTTTTAAAATCATTTGATAAGAAAACTTGGGAAAAGATTCTACCATTGGTATATTCTAAAATTCCAAGATGGGTCTCACCCCTTGAAGCCTTTTCACAACCAAGCTTAATCTCACTGGACAAAATACTCAGATATGAAGACCTTTTAGATGATAAAGGATGCTTAAAAACAAAGGAAGAATTAATAAGGAAATGTGTTAATCTAGATTGGTAGGTAAAGCCTCAAATTGAATCTATGTTAAAGATAGAAAATTGGTTTTTATTTAGAACAATGTGCATTTGAAAAATTGATCAAGAAAATGTATGTATTTTTAATGCAAATGAAAATGGAGGATGAAGTGGTTAAAGATTGTATGATCAAATGGATGCAAAATCTAGGTTATAATATTGATCTTGCACAATGGAGTAAACTGTGGGAAGTGAATGTAAAAATGACCAAATTGGTTGCATTTAAAGAGAATTTGTATAAGATGTTTTATAGATGGTACTTAACACCAGATACACTGGCTAAAATGTATAAAAACATGTCTAATAGTTGCTAGAAGTGTAAAAAACATGTAGGTACGTTTTACCATATGTGGTGGATATGTAAAACTGTACGCAAGTTCTGGGTTATGGTGCATACATTTATACAGGCAGTTTTGCAGACTTCAATATGCTTTTGACCAGAACTGTTTTTACTGAATTGTACACCAGATGAGTTTGATAAAAATCAGACATTTTATAATTCATGTGGTAACAGCAGCTAGAATCTTATAAGCAACTTTTTGGAAACTTCCAACAATACCCATGGAAAGTGCAGCAATGGACAAACTCACTGTGATTTTAAAAGGGCAAATGGAAGAAGACTTTGTTGGACTATGGACCCCTTTTTACAATTGGATGGGAAAGAAACATAAAGATATGATTTCTTTGATACAATATGAAGTAGCCTATATGAACTTCAAAAATTTCACAGTCTACCTCTTAGAAGTCTGAAATAATATTACATGCAGAACACTTATTATTTTGTTTTTCCACTTTTCCCTCACCCCTGTATACTCTAAAACCTAATAAAGTGTAATTAAAAAAGAAAAAAAAGAAAAGAGCCAATCCTGGCTCACAAACCTAGCAAGGGGATTCAGTTTTCCAGCAGGCCCAGGTCCATTATACATACATGTGAACTAGATTCTTCTTTGGTGTGTCTGCAAAACTGAAGGGTGTCTGCTTCCAAACGGTGTCTTATTCAGCTGTTATCATCCCACTAATGTTCCTTACTGTTCTTCATCCTTCAGTTTCCTTTTTGATTATATGCAGTTATGAGGTGTTAAAATAAGAACTGGGATCATACATATTGATGATATTGTTGGTCCTGAAAGTCATCCACCGTGCTATCTTTTATATTCAAATCCCAGAGATATATGATTAAGAAAACTAGAGGTGGGACATTTATCTTTTTGTTAAAGAAAATTGCCACTTCCTTCAAGGTAATGTGACTCTGTATGAAAATCCTGAGAAAAGCATGTTGTACTGCTTATGCACCTCCCATTCTGTATAACAAATTACTATTGTGTACTCATTCCAAGGTGTCTCTGCACACTGTAAGTTATTTCGGTCTAGGTCCATTAGGTTTCAATGAGCTTAGACTGGAAAAACTCTGCATAAGATCTGACTGTTACTCAAGCACAAAACAAAACACAAAACCAAAGAGAAAGTATCACGGATCTGCAACACCCAAAACCAATATAACTACCGTGAAACTTAACTAAGAATATAATATTAAAAATACCTTTTATTATTTATGCAAAAATATAATCAACAAATTCAATTACTATAATTTGTAAATGTCAGCTAGGCCTCCTGCCTGGCTGTCATGTAGATGGTGGGGGGGGATGCTTTGGACTGATGAGTTTTGTTTCTGCTGTGCCTACACTGGGTTCATTATCTGTCTTCTGCGCTACATGACCTTGAGTGCCTGGTATAGCCTTTCTCCTGGGAAATGTTACCCGTTACTTTGACGGGCTTCTGCTGGCTACCTGATTGGACCCCTCTGAGTTATGTATATCTTTTTGTTTCGCGCGCATTCTCTTTAGTTCTAACACAAAATAGTTATGATACCCGTAGCACTACTGTCTCCATAAACTTCACTTCTCTGAATGAACATTGTTGGGAACTGATTGCCTCAGGAGTCTGACTATAACTATCTGTGTGGTCCTTTTTCATGAGCATTACGGCACCTTGCATTTTGAATATTACTGATGCTGAGTAATGTATTTTGTATGACTTGTTGCACTTTGTATAATTTGTATGTTTAGTAATTCTTATAAGGAATTGATGGGGTCTGAACTGGCAGAGACTGAGCAAGAGAGAGATCTTGGAGTTGTAGTGGATAACTCACTGAAAATGTCGAGACAGTGTGTGACTGCAATAAAGAAGGCCAATGCTATGCTGGGGATTATTAGGAAGGGTATTGAAAACAGATCAGCCAATATAATAATGCCCCTATATAAATCAATGGTGAGACCTCATTTGGAATACTGTGTGCAGTTCTGGGCACCACACCTTAAAAAGGATATTATAGCTTTGGAAAAAGTGCAGAAAAGGGCAACTCGAATGATAAAAGGGTTGGAACACTTTCCCTATGAGGAAAGGTTAAAGCGCTTAGGGCTCTTTATCTTGGAGAAAAGACGACTGAGGGGTGATATGATCGAGGTTTATAAGATTATGCATGGGAAAGAGCAGGTAAAGAAAGAGGTACTTTTCTCCCTTTCTCACAATACAAGAACTCGTGGGCACTCCATGAAACTGCAGAGCTGTCTGGTTAGAACGGATAAAAGGAAGTACTTCTTCACCCAAAGAGTGATTAACACATGGAATTCACTGCCACAGGAAGTGGTGGGTGCTACAAGCATGGACGGCTTCAAAAGGGAATTAGATAAGCATATGGAGTAGAGGTCCATCAGTGGCTATTAGCCACAAGGTATAGCTAGGGGCTCTGGGGCAAGTGATGCTCTGTCTTCTTGGTGCTTGGGGGGGGGGTCAAAGGGGGGGGGGCTTCTAATGTCCTGGCCCCACTGCTGGACCTTCTGATGGCACTGGTATTTCTGGCCACTGTGTGACACAGAGTGTTGGACTGGATGGGCCTTTGGCCTGATCCAAAATTGGCGTCTCTTATGTTCTTATGTTCTTATGATAGTACATCTTAGGATATATTAAGAACCACACAGATATACATTACAGTAACTGAATTTACTGATAATATTTTTGCATAAATAATAAAAGGCATTTTTAACTGTTTATTCTTCGTTATGTTTCATGGTAGTTATGTTGGTTTTGGATGTTACTCAAGCACAGCAATGGCCATACTTAAGCATATGCTTCAAATCCAGATTTACAATTTAGATGCATCACTAGGCTATAGACTTCAAAAGAAAACTTAAGATCCATAAGATTTAGTATTTGTGGCATATTTGTCACGTGTGTTTGGGGGCAAGGATAAAGAGATCAATTAGTACCAGTCAGTAACGAGCCTACAGTCATTCTTTGACATGAAAGCCAGCACAGTTTTGTGTTACTTGTTGTGACCTTTTCTAGCAAGTAATAATCAAAGGAGTAAAAAATTATATTTGAACAATTAATTTTCAATGGCAAGTTTAAAAGCAGAGAAATCCATATAACATCCACTACCAAGAAAATAATTTGTTTGTGCTTATTATACCAGTCCTTTCACACATGCTCGTTTCATGAAGTGGAGCCAGTTATTTACATTCAAGAAGGTAATTTTGGCCTTTGGGGGACAGTAAGCATGAATTCTACTAATACTGCTTTCTCCTCACTATCTACATGATGAGTATGAGGGTAGCAAGCACTTTAAAACTTTCTGAATAATGTTGGTGTACTTCACCA